TTTGCATTATGGCTCCGGTTTCGACAGTATTGCCTGCAGCTAAGTGTGATCTTTCTTTCACGGTTGCGGGCTTTAAAGATTACTTCAGTATCCTCCCAATCACAATGGATTCTAAGCATGCTTCCATTTATGCACGAGACGGATGCCTGCTGGTTGTAATCACGCAGCAACGCGTCAAATCCTTCACAAACACGTGTGTTCTTGGCGGGTTGGTCTCTCCTGGTGGGTGCAATCGAGGTGACTGCAGGGCACATTTCTATCGCGCAGTAGCGAGCTCCGTGGGTGCACCGAGGTAACCTGCGCCCAGTGAGTTATGTCCTCAGTGAGCCCAAAAGGCCCTGAAAATCTCACAAAGTTTCCAAGATAACAAACCTCGCAGCTGCCAGCTCGCATCACCATATCCCGTCACTGGTAATCCGACAGTTCTCCGTGTCAGACCACAGGGCAGGGGTGCTATGGCTGGCGGGCTGCCCACTGCGAGTGTTCCAGCCACGGCAGGGCGTCGACGACACACGTCCAGGGTTCTGACGGTCTTACCGGCTGGCGTGCGCGGCGCAGGCCAGATGACGACCTCATGGATGACGCTTATGACACTCCATGACGGCTTCATGGATGACACTCTCCAGGAGTATCCCAAGATCGTCGCAGGTTTCGTCGCAGAGGGGTTGCTGAAGGGCGAGACGCTCTTGCTGTAAGCCAGGCAACAAATCACAGAATACGATGCGCCCTGGGTGTTGCCTGTGAAGCTTCGCAGAACAATGCCCTTACTTTCTTGTCCCCATTGCCCAAAGCCTAGACCAATCCGCTTGATAGCCGTGCTTGGAAAGTCATCGGGATGACGCAGCCTAACCAGTGTCACGTATGTCACGTATTTCAGCTCTCTGGTTGCAGCATAGGCCCTAGAAGAGGTTAGTACGCCATGGCCATACTTACGTATGACAATGCTCAGTCCATACATTTTCGGCAGACAAAGCGAAAAGTATGAATATTTCAGCTTTCTGGCTGCATTGTGGCTTAAACCTCGTCTTCTCGAACTAAGATGTTCTGGCCGAACGCTAGAAACAGCCAAAGAAGAAAAACACTGCTGCATGTGGACTCACTGCAACGGGTAACTTCATTGATTCCGGAGAATTACAGATGAAGCGTCACATTCCCAGGCAAAATTAGTGAAAAAACAGTATATAGTCATCATATTTCATCTACATACAGCATGCATCAAGTTGAAACATTCAAAGGACATAGTACCGAGTTTTTGACAGCCCATCTCTCAAGCTGAGTGCTTCCAGTCATCATCTACGGCAGCTCAGGCAAACGCGTGCTATATCGGTGTTTCCGGTGACAGGTGTATTGGATTCATTCACGCTCTGTTTGTTCCCGATGCGTGACTGTGCAAAAAGCCGCGTCACAAACACCAGCCCGCCAGAATAGACATCAGGACCGTGCAGCGGCAGGTCCGCACGATGACACGTATCAACGGCGCCACGCCACCGACTTCCGGCACTTATAAGGCGGCGGGGGCATTCCCCATCGCCCGTTTCATAATGGCTACACGGAACGCAAAGGAAGTTGCGTAAAGCAAACTGGTCAAGATCCTGCCGTGTCTCTCCTTTTCATACCTGCAAAAGTTCCTCCTCGGACCGCAGTTGACCATTGAGGCACCAGCCCGGTCACCGAGGTCAGCTGTCGCCGCCTGGCGCCGCGTCTGACGGGCGCGGGTGGGCCCGGCGCCGCGCGGCGCCGCGCCGCGCCGGCCGCCGCCCGGTGCCGGGGTCGTCGCGCCGCGCGGCCGGGCGGCGCTGCCGACTCGCGGCTGCCGAGGCGCGGCCGGCCGGAAGCGGGGCCCGACCCGCTGACGGCGCGTGGGGCAGGTCAGGCGGGCAGAGCGCCGGGGGTGCTGTCGGGCGGCCGCCAGGCGCGGGACCTCCGCTTCAGCACTGCTGGAAACAGCGCGGAGTGGTGGGGAGCTGACGGTGCCAGCATGACGTTGCGTGCTCGATGTGGAGCTGTCCTGCAGGTGGTGTGCGAAGGTCCTGTACTACCTCGCTGCGAATGCGATGGCGTGGCTGAGGAACACCAGCGCCGAGTTTTTATGTTTGTATCGCTAGGTCTTATATTACGCGATAAAGAGCGTCCCCAAAGTCGTGGAGACCCGAGAGCTGTGGGAGGGTGAGGTTTAGCATGTCCCTGATGAGAGCTCGAATTGAATTTAATTCATTCGGCTTGTTTCGCAATGAGTGCAATAATGTTGCGGGGTTAGAAATAAACGAAGTCTCCAATTTTACCACATTCTCTGAAATACGGAACGCAAGTGTCGTAGCTCGATGTTCTTTCCCAAGACTTGCCCCCTTACCTGACTACTATTCGGCGTCCATGCCGAATCCGCCATCTCAAAGGGTCTCTCTTTTTCCAAGCAAAAGCTTTGAAGTGCTGACAAGCATTGACAACGACGCATGAATCTTAAACAAATATAACATAAAGAATATGCCAGGTGAAGGTGTGCATATACAGTGTTTTCCTTGCTACAGCCTGGGCTTTTTACGGCAGACGACCCTTGGCATGTTGGAGACAGACATGCAACGCGATGCAGACGGCCATGACAATTAAGAGATACTGGGTCTTCTTGTTATCCGGCCAAGTTACCGGGTAATACCTACGCTGCGCACAAACTAATCCAGCTTGCCAATTATATCACGGCGGTTGATCTCCAAGCTGCAGTCTTACACACGTGTGCTGTGTCGGCATCTTGTGTCGGCATCGCCGGGGCGGCTCCGTCTCGTGTGATGGCGCACGCAACGCCACCCCATGGGCAGCAGGTGGCTGCGGGCAGCCGACGCCACCACGTGGGCAGTGGGTGGTTGTGTGCAGCCAGCTTTCCGACTTTGAAATCAGGTTCAAAGCCACTTAGCAATACTTAGATAGAATGGCCCTTAGAACGTACATACGAAAGCCAAAATTTTCGCGCCTGCACTGCATCCAATTGGGCTGAAGTTTTGAGAATGTTCAAAAATGTTTGACCAGTGGAAAGTTTATCCTTGTTATTAGACGTCCACCAGCAAATGCAGAAATTTCCATTTCATTTTTCTCGCAACGGCGGAAAACCACCTTTCACATCAGTCCGATAATACCTAAACCAAACCAGTGCCTCCTGCCAAGGTACTGTAAGGCAGTAGCGAAGCTTGTAAAATGATGTACGCCATTTGCGAGTATGACTGCAGCGATCGCAGCCGTTGGCGCTGACCTTCTCCCTGAATTTCAGCACAGACATCTGTGTAGCGTCGGGTGGTGTCTGAAGCTGGCACAAAACCGCAAGCTCACGCGGCATTCGTCGGAATCCTCTTGATCGAGGAGGACGTGATGGCCGAGCGTGATATCGCGGAACAGAGGAAGCACCGTGGGCTGGGGCTTACCGTGCACAGACGACCCAGAACGGAACAAGGAAGACCAGAAAGAAGGTCGTGCTTGGTTTTGTGGCCTGCGCAAGCCGGGGTATCACATGGATTGCCTACAGATATGGTCATTGTAATGCATCGCGTAATGCTATACCTTAGATTGAGTAGATCTGATGCATCACTTCAGTACCACCGCTGAGTCTTGCGGCGAACACAGCAAGGCCATGCCGCGTGATTCTCTTCTGTGTGCGATCACTAACGCCATATCCGCTGTAAACGACGTCCAACAAGTGGGAGTGCGCCACTTCAGGCTCTAAAATCGACTGGAAGGTTCGCATTGTTCCGTGTATAGACGCGAGAACGTATGCGACTGCTGTTGGTACCGATGGCCGGAGGAGGTGTTTCACCATGGTTCAATGCCTCGCCATGGCTTGGAACGCTCGCCGGCCGGGGACCCGGAATGTGACGGCCAGCGCGGCGACGTTCGGGTCAGAGGCTCCCACCTCATCCAGGGCACGGGGTGGGCTTCATGTCTGGAAGCTAGGAGTCTCTTCTCAGTCGATAGTCCTCCATCAGTCAATCTAGCAGCACTCTCTCTCCATGGCTCTACCCTCCCTCCCTCCCCCCCCCCCCCCCTCTCTCTCTCTCTCTGTTTCCTCTCTCTCCCTCTCTCTCTTTCTCTCCCCGTTCTCTCTCAACTCTCTCCCTGCTCGGTCTTCGGTTCTTTCTCAGCCAACACGGTATCCCCGTCTCAAAGGTAACCAGAGTTTCCTCCCGCCCCGCCTTGGACTGGCGATGCAAAGTTTCCTTGACCCTGCATCAAGAACTTGTACTAAATCAACATTGATTGCATGGAGCCGTGCCTGGGCTGGCATCTCAGGGGACTTCACCGGCAACAGGAAATATCAACCTCTGTGGAGTGTGCTGGGAGGTGGCACCAGCGCCGGCTCCCGTCAGAAATCGTTTGGTCTGCCCGTACCTATGGCATTTAGGTTGGTGCCGCTATCAGATTAAGAGGAATATCTCGCATCAGTAGCCCGGATCCATTCGTACCCCCGCCCCGACTGAATTCCGGGCAACGGGGTAGACGGCCAGCGCTGGCCAATCCGACTGAGGTCTGGGCAGTCGGGTGGACGGCCAGCGCTGCCCACCACGACTGAGGTCCGGGCAGTCGGGCGGACGGCCAGCGCTGCCCACTCCGACTGAGATCCGGGCAGCCGGGTGGACGGCCAGCGCAGCCCACCCCGACTCAGATCCGGGCAGTCGGGTGGACGGCCCACTCCGACTGAGGTCCGGGCAATCTGGTGGACGGCCAGCGCTGCCCACTCCGACTGAGGTCCGGGAAATCTGGTGGACAGCCAGCACTACCCACTCCGACTGAGGTCTGGGCAGCAGGGTGGACGGCCAGCGCTGCCCTCCGCCGAGAGGCTGCGGGGAATGCTAATTGGCCGGCACTGCCGGCGACTCCAGCTGATCCCCTGCGAGAGATCGGCCCGATCCCGCCGCCGGCAAACCTGTCTCCGCATTAGGGCCTGTTACGCCCCTGCATTAGGATCTTGTTATGGCGCGGGCCGTGATGGCGGCGCCGGACTTGCTGGTAACATTCAAGAACACGGATGATTATGTGTATTGGCATCGTGAGGAACAAATGACTGAGGAGGTGGGAAACACAACGCGAGAAAATCGGCATAGCCGACACATCAAATAACGATAACGACATGCAAGGTTAAAAGCATCGCTTGAGTGGTGCCGCGAACTGGGCTGAGGAATCCATCTCGTATCGAGCTGTCGGCGAGGTGGCACGGCGTCGTCACGCTCTCTCTCCCTCTTTCTCCCTCTTTTTCTCTTCGACTATCGTGACAGCCACACATAAATAGCACAAATAGAACGGCGCTCGCAGCCGGCGAGCTCAGAGTATACAAGACACAGCCTCTGCGGTGGCGAGAAGCGGGCGGCGGTCGCCGGCCCGGAGCCGGCGACGGCGGCCCAGCGCCACCGTCTGCGTCTCGGCGCCGCCCGGGCAGCACAGCCGGCCGCGCCCTCAGCGCTGGCCGATGAGCGCCGGGGACGACGCCGTCCGCGCGTCGCCGGTGAGATCGGGTCGCCTCGCGGTGCCGCTAGTCTCGGCTAGCGTCCGGAGGCGTCCGTCTGGTCGGTGCAGGAACTCTGCTGGCTCGCATCGGAGCACTCGCTGGAGAAGGAGCCGCGCGGCAGGCCGCAGGTGGCCGCCGTCACCTCGATGCGGTGAGGCTCCGGGAACGTGAAGAGCTGCGCGTGCGGCAGCGTCGACTGCAGCAGCGCCGCCTGCACCGACGGCACTGAGTTCGACTTGCGCACGAGCGAGTATAAAAAACTGGGCGGCGCACGTTTGGCCGCCGGGAGGCGGAAGTGGTTCGTCTCGAGCGGGCTTGGCGGGATCGTGTCCATCAGCGGGAAGGCCGCGGGGTTGGTGTGCGTGCGCCGCAGCGGACGCGTCGCGGTGCCGCTTGACACGCGCAGCCCCAGCAGCCGGCGCAGCTCGCGCTGTGTCCGCCGGCTGCGGAAGCTGTAGACGAACGGCGAGACCGCGCTATTGGAGACGACCAGCAACGCGGAGACGTGTGCCACGCTGGGTGAGAACGCCACGAACGCGCCGACCAGCTGGCACAGGAAGAACGGCAGCCAGCAGGCGAAGAACATGACAACTACCACCAGCGACACCTTGGCCGTGCGGCCCTCCTCGCGGTACATGAACAGGCTCGCGTTGGAGATCTTGTGCTTGAGGTTGTTGACGATCAAGCTGCTGGAGTTACGCAGCTGCTGCACTCGCAGTGACTGTGTCCGCACGGGCCGGCCGTTCGCCGCCATCATGGGCACGGTCAGCTCGCCCGGGTTCATGCCCAGGCTGTGGCGCCTCTGCCGCTCGCTGTTCTTGTGCGCACACAGGTAGATGCGCACGTACATCCAGACGAGCGCTGCCAGCGGCACGACGAACAGCAGCAGAGCCAGCGCCGGCGCGTACCAGCTAGCCGCCGCGCTGGCCGAGTCGTAGCGCGGGCACGCCTCCCAGTGCTTGTCGGCGGCCGGCACCAGCAGCGAGAGCCCGGTCACCAGCAGACCGGCCGCCCAGCAGCCGGCGATGGCGACCAGACTGCGCGGCTTGGTGACGATGGCGTGGTAGCGCAGCGCGTCGGTCACTGCCGCGTACCGGTCGCCGGCGACCAGCAGCGTGGCCAGCACCGACGAGCTGACGACGAATGTGGCGATGGCGTCGACGGCGTGGCAGAGCGGCGCCGACGGCGGCGGCAGGAAGAGGTCCGTCAGCAGCAGCGGCAGCAGGCCGCATGTCGACACCAGGTTGATGGCCGCCAGATTCAGCACAAAGCTGCCGGAGGCAGAGGAAGCGTTAGCGCCTGGTGGCGACGGGTGTGTGGCGTGCGGTGCGGTGCACTGACCAGCGGCGCAAAAAGCGAGGCCAGCAGACGTGCCGATCGATGTGAGCCGGATTCGCGACAGCTTGCGCCCGATCGGTTGGAATGCCGAGTATTATCAGATTACGCAGGGAGCTACGCTTCAATCGCGGCGCAGACTGGAGCTCTTACATAAACGGACAACCATCCGTCGGGCACAGATCGGATTTGTTTCGCGACAAGGAACGCCAGACGGAGTGATAAGAAAGCTCCATATCTCATCAGAGATGTCTGAGGGGTACCTGAAGAGTTGCGGAGACTCCTCAAAGCGCTGGAACGTTTGACAAGGCATGTTTGAGATGCTACTGAATTGCCTGAGCTGAACTGAGTGCTCTGGGACTCGACTGGGTAAGCCCCATGCCCCGCAGGCCACCCGGGGACGGTGTTGACAGCATAGACTCACCGGTTGGGAAGTGTTCGCATGCCGCGTCTCCTGACGAAGAGCACCACGATCAGCGAGTTGCTGATTGTGGCCACGATGAACATGGTGGCCAGGAGGAACGCGACGACGATAGTGACGCAGGCGCGTACTATGCTCACGTCGACAACAGTCAGCATGTTCTGAAAAGAAGAGAAGAGGGTTGTCAGCTCTCGGTGCACACTTGCGATATTATCAAGACATGCTGTAGCACCAATGTCATTCAGTCATTAAGTATTTGCTCTAATTTGGGGTTTTGAAAAAGGTTACAACCTAACTTTACCTCTGGGGATTCACTCCCTGCAGTCTAAACGTCTTGCCTGATGTTTAAATGGACTGAAATAAATTTCATGCATATCCAGATTAAACTAAAAATGCATTACTTTGAGATGCCACCAGATTCATGCCAACTAGTAGCTTCAGCATGGCCCAAAACAGCCCCCACTATTATAAAACACGGTCATCCGAGCGGTTTTTGCGCTGCAAATGTGTGTGTACTCGTTCCAAGGCACTCCTCTGACCTCTGATAAGTGTCACGCTTCACGCCCCCCGAGTCAGTTGATTGGGCACGCTGCAATGCTACTTCACTCAAGCAGTTTTAAGCACATACGCAGAGCATAATGATCGTGATAGTCGTTTTCGACCGTAATCCTCCAAGAGTCGCGACGAGAACCTCTCAGAGTTCTTCGAAAGTTTGGGAAACTCTATCGAAATAATGATTCATCTGGTTACAGCTCCGCAAAGCCTTCCAGACGCGGATTCCGTATCCGAGACGAACGCCACCGGCTCGCCACCGCAGTCGCCGCAATCTGCCTGGACCTGTCTGGACAGTGAGCGATGCGGCGGCTGGACGCGGCTGCCTGGGGTCGCGCGGCGAGAGCCAGCGTGAGCCCCGCGGCGGCGGCCGAGGCGCGTCTCGACAGAGCCGAGCCGAGCCGCAGCCGCTCCGACCTCGCTCGTCGATAGGATCGCGGCGGCGCCATAATGGGTGCGCCGATCCGTCACTGTCGCCGGATTTCATCGCGCTGCGTCCGTTCACTAATTTCAGTCGAGCGCCAGACCCGGCACACCGTGCGGCGCCGGGCGCCCCAGACGAGTGAATTTCGGTGATCCCTGTGTGAAACTGCGTCGTGATCGCTGCGGGGATGCTTCACGTGCGGAGCGCGCTCTCGGTCCCGACTGAGCGGCTGTCGAGAGCTGCGAGGCGGCACAAACGAGGCGAAACATCCCCAGCGTGGGAACCGACCAGGGTTTCCATCAGGGGCTATCGAGTTTCTTGGATCATTAATCAAGCGGAGCCATAAACGCCGAAGCAGGGGTGCCTTGTGAATATTGATCACGCTAATGTATTGGAGGGTTTGACGCAGTCCCTTGCCTCTGACACGCCAAGCTCCGAGGAAATGAGAGATGTACTCTTTGCTAAAAGTTTTGATCGTGTTTGTCGACTCAGACAGGGTAAATGATAAAACACGAGCCCACTAGGGCCCTCCTACTCCTGGGAACAGCTGCCAATTTGCAATTTGTTCAAACTCACTGCAGTGGGCAGCCATTAGCTAGACATAACCCGCCTCCACTTATCCGTGCGGCCACTCCCCACGCACCCCAGATTGGCCATTCGGGCCAGCTGGCCGACCCAGCTGCGGCCGGCGCCACGGGAGGGCCATCAGCCGGCGAGGCCCAGCCCCGGCACCGGCGACCAGGTGGACAGGACCGGGCCCGACCGGGCCTCTGTTGTGCCGCGGCTGCGCTGCGTGCGGAGACGCGGCCGCTGATGAGGGCTGGCCTGACCGAGCCGCCGGCCGCGCTCGCCGCCGCCGCGCCGCCTGCATATTGATAAGCCGGCGGCCGGCTGCTGGCCCCGGTGGCCGCCAAAATCCGTGTCAAACCGGGCGCTGGGAGGCCGACCGCGACCGCGAGGAGAGGAGCCGGCCAAGGAGTACCAGTGGCGCCGCGGTGCGCCAGCTCTCAGAGAAAGCCAGCGCACTGCGGACAGCCGACCGGTGAAAGGGCCGCGGGCCGGCTCGGCCCGGCGGCGCTCTGTGCAATATCGTCGCCTGCTTACCTCGTCACAACTCCGGCTGGCAGCAGGGTAGGGACATGGCGCGCTGGCCGTCTGTCACAACTGGCACTGACACGTGCGCCCGACCGAGGCCGGCGCGCGACTGGCTGCCGGCGCTGCGCCCAGCCACTTCGCGGTGTCGCCAAGGGTGCTGCCGACTGCTCGTGCTAGCGGCACACGACGGGTCGCAGTCTCCGACGCGGCGCGCGGTTACACTGCGGACGAGCGTTGTCGTCTCTGCCTGTAGCGCGCGGCGGTGCGGTCGTGCCGGCGGCGCGGACGGGCGGCGACTGGCCGTCTGCGGGCGGCGCGGCCGGCTATACCGGCGCGCGCCAAGGTCCCGACGACGGGCCGCCCCCGGCCGCCGCGCCGCCGCCGCCGCCGCCGCCGCCGCCCGGCAGACCGGCCGAGCGGGCGCCGCCGCGCGGGTCCGGCGCGTCAGCCGACCGCGCAGACACCGGCCCGGCCACCAGCCGACACGGACGCGGAGGCGACGCCAGGTCTGGCGGATTACCACCGGCGTGGCGATTGGCCGAACGCCTTCGTCAACGTGTTGCATTATTTCGGCGGTGGTGCGGGGTTGTTGTCGCTGCCTTGCTGTGCATGCATTCGAAGCGTCTTCGCCAGCCAGCCAGCAAGCGCAGGCGAATGGCCTGGTCTGCGGGACACTCGGCTCCTCGGGGGTCAGACTGCCGGCCAGTCCACGTAACCGGATCCGGGCAGCTCTGTAAGCCTCCAACCGGAGCACTGGAACCGATTCTCATCTCTCAATGGTTTCATCGCTCATGTATATGGGGTTTTGCTTTGGGAGTCTGCACGCAGATGCGTGCACCACCTGATACTGCACTTCGCCACATTGAAATGATCACTACGATCGCTGGGCGAAATGGGAGAACCTCGGGAGGCCACACGATCGTAAAACTATCCCAAAGTGTTGATTCACTTAAGCTTTAAACATTGAACTGACACGATCGCGCAGCACTTGACGGCCTATTTGGTCAATCTCGCCATGAATTGGACCCTAAAACTTCATCTTTGCGCATGAATATGTGTATATATATATATATATATATATATATATATATATATATATATAGGTGTGTGTGTGTGTGTGTGTGGTGTGTGTGTGTGTGTGTGTGTGTGTGTGTGTGTGTGTGTGTGTGTGTGTGTGTGTGTGTGTGTGTGTGTGTGTGTGGTGTGTGTGTGTGTGTGTGTGTGTGTGTGTGTGTGTGTGTGTGTGTGTGTGTGTGTGTGTGTGTGTGTGTGTGTGTGTGTGAAACAAACTTGCTTTTGTACAGTCAGCATACATTCATCCGCCCAAGTTTTAGCGTGTATCCTTCAGTGGCAAAAGTTTTTTGCGGAAATCAGTACTTGTCTTTTGTCTTTTTCACTTTTTGTGTCGATAGTTCATCATAGCCAGGTAGTAGCCTCAAGGCTGCGCGAAGGCAACGACACACTCGAAAGGAGACTCACCCAGTCGCATTGCGTTAAGTTCTTAAAATTAAAAGGTGAATTGTCTTTGGAGACTCTGGTCATGCATTCCAGGCTTCATATCACAATGCGCGTAATCACCTTACTAATTTTGTTCTAAAGTTCGGGCATTTCCTGTCCAAACGGACGACGGAATATTAGGAGCATAGTCTTTCATGCACTTGCTATGCTTTGCAGGATGCTTAGAACAACAATGGATTTAGACCAACGCTGCTGGTCTTATCTTGACTATAAATATGACATTAATCTCGATATTCTCAAAATTTATTGTCACTGTACAGACGGCTCAGCTGATGGTCCTCGCCCAAATCAAAGCAAATGTCAAAACACTCCTTTTTGTTGCTTAAGAAAATGGCGTTTAGCTGCTATGGCTTGACTATTCTGTGAACTAATCGACTACTGTACCTATAACTAGCAAGACATTTGACCCTGATTAGCAGTTTTCATTGTACGGTGAATACCTGTAAAACTTTGACCGAAGACGCCCACAAAAATGTTCCGGCCCCGTTTACAGAATATTTACGATGCTGTTATGATGTCCAATGATCTGTCGCATGCGAAAGAACTGCATCAGCGGTATTTATTTTATACATTGCTCATAATGCTCGTGTTTAAGTTAAGACACATGAGACCGATCTAAATACACGGATATAGGAAGTCTTTTTCATGGCCACCTTCATAAGTTTGGCGTCCATACATACGAACAGAAGCAGGAACAGTTCATGCGGTCCAACGTCAGGGAACAATATGTCACTGTTGAAGTGAGACAGAAACCTTTTCGAATCATACATCATTTTGTCAGTGGTTGGTGTTGAGAAATGCATTACTAGCAAACAGCCTGTTTGGTCAATTATCAGGTGTAGTTCAATTCAATGTCATTTAGATAACGCAGCAAAATAACGCATCGGCATTTACAGTTCACTCCAACGAGACGCTGCGCATACGATTCAAACAATTTTATGTTGCCTTGTCCTGAGGTAGTGATGTACTTTCCCTACAAAATTGCTTTTCCCACTCTCATTGTCCCTTGTCCTTCCCATATTAATAGTTCTGCACAAATTTGTATCTTCTCTCACCGCATCTCTGCATACTAGTGCAACAATAGCAGCCGAGAATGCTACGTATGAGGAAATATAACTGGATTCATTGCTCCACCCGTTCTTCACGATGCAACAGTGACAAAACATGCAAGTTACAAAAAGGGGACACAGATGGACAGTACGATCATCACTGCACATACACCGATTATAACGCAGTGACTTGTCAGAATAGCCTTGTAGATTACTTGCAGATTATTCCCTGGCCCGCTACAAACCAGCAGCTGGCTTTCTAACCTTCAACGGCACGATGCAATCACATCGTCACCAAACATGGGCTGTCGTTGAATAATGAACGTACGCTTCCGAGACCTTAAGAAGCTCCCGGTGACGTCACTATAGTGGGCCTTAAACGCTCAGTGAACTTGAAACGCGATGCACCCGCGATCGCTTGATCACTTGAGACTTGCATTGATACCAAACAGACTGCCATGTATTAAGCGTTGAATAGGCTCACCACACCCTCAGAAAGTGAACGCCACGAACGACGTCACTGTGACGCGGCTGGATGACTGGCTCGTGCAGATCGGGCATTCCAGTGACGTACACTCGCAGACAGACGTGCGTTAATGACAGTCTAAGGCTGTGGCCACGAGCTGCACTTTGGCAGTGAGTCAAGGCGCCAGTTAGAATTGGAGATGAAAACTGAGCTCTTCCAGCCAACACAATGATGCAAAATAGCCATGGAACTTCAGCGGAATAAGTCTAAATGGAATAATATGTCCTGGAGCTTCTCCTGTAATGTTCATGCCCAACGTGTGTGGGCGATTACCGTCTCAGTTCATGTAGAGAGGCGGTGTGAGTGACCGGCTCTACACCAGAGGAAAAATCTATTGGAATTTCGAGCTTTCGACCAAAAAAAAACTTCTGACAAATATTCAATAATTTATACTAACTTATGCATCATGGTGCGCTGGATATAACTATATACCCGCATATGACTGTTGTTGGCAGACAACAGGGGCAATAGCAAAACAATGAAACAAATAGGCCTCACCCGATTTGTCATGTGTTTTATGACGCCACCAATGAGAGGAGATAACGTTGTACTTGAATTATGCGTAAATAGATAGCCCTTATTCGACCGTCGGAGGATGGTAGATATCAAACGCGTCAACCTTGAAAAAAATTTTACATACTAGCGTAGAATTGGTTTATTCTTTAAATGGATTCTGCAATACTACTTTGAGAGTCACGTTGTCGCCCCTTTGTGGCGTCACCGTTGATAACGCGCGCTCGAAAAGCGTTCGCGGAGTCTTTCCTTAAAAGAAAAGGCTGATCGAGGTCATTGAAGCTCAGTGACTTCATTTGACTTAGTTACTTAAATAAGAAGTTTGTGGCGTCACTGTGATCAGGTAATTTCAACTGAGCGTGACAAAAACTACCGCGTTAAGCAAGTTTTTTAGCCAAAGACCGTTTCGTTTTCACCTTGACCTGTTCTTCATGCCTGGCCCAAAGGTCATTAAAGTTAGTTGCGATCCTGTTTTTATACCAACAAATTGGCAATTCCATTGTCAACAGCTGTGTAAAGTTTGGCGCTGCTACACCGCACATTTGGGAGTTGCCCTTAAAAAATATTTGAATCGGACTGACCCCTTCCCGGGCCAGTATAAAAGACGCAGGAGAGAGGAAACAACTGAAGTGTATTTGGCCGAGCCGGTCGTCAAGCGGGTGCGGCTGGTTACGTTAGCAGCGGACGCTTGCGGGATGCAGGGCTAGCAGCTGGTAAGGCTCGATCATCCACCTCGTCATACCTCGAGGCCATTCGTTCGGTGACAGGCTCTTGGCTGGGAATGCTGATGACGGGAGTTTCTGGAAACGAAGCCGCCCTAGTGACGAACTATGTGTGGGTGTGACCGGCCCAGGCCATAAATCGTGTATGGACTAGGCCTTTTTGACCAGAAGATCCACCTTGACATCTCACATAAATCACGCCGATGCTTAATGGGTCTAAGAGGTCTGACTTCCACTAGCGCCAATGTCTTACGATGCTCCTGAACGCATCACATTCTCATGTGCTTCCGACGGTGTCACTGATGTCGATTGGAGCTTCGCAAGTGAAAGGCACCGGCATGTAGCTGTGGTTGTGTTTTGTAACAGGGCCGAGTTATAGAACTACGTGTGGATCTTATGCCATATCACGACACCTTGTAGCAAACTCATTTTTCCTGGCGCGGTATTTTGGCAACTCCTAAATGTGCTAGATGCGAAAAAAAACAGAAACTGACTGGTGCTCTCCAGGACCGGGCGGCGAACACACAATTGCCTCATATTTCGGTTCCCGCAGTGACTTGCAAGACACAGGTGATCAGTACCCTACTTTTTACAAAGTTAAGCCGCTTATGTGTCATCAATTGTCTCGTCAAATGTACCACAACCTATCCCATTATCCGCTACTAGTGCAGCATCCTGATCCACAGTACCCATGATTTATTGTTACCTGACTAATACAGTTTCCCAATGGAATCAGCTTGTCGGCACTCCGCTCGTTCGCACAGCGCTGGCGTAGTTATCACGGCGGGCAGCTTATTTTGTCCATTGACCTTTGTGATGGAAATATGGTGCAAACTCACAAAGAATACTAATCCAAGAGCTTCCGAGAGCATTTACGTTTTACACGAGAACATGGCTGGTCAGATCAGACCAACAAAGCGTTTTGATTTTTGTAGCCATGTCTTTAGGGCGTTT